TTGTTAAAGTCTACCCTTCCCTAAACAAGTTTTGAATTCTTGTATTATGATTATGATTATGATTATTATTTTAGCTACTGAGGATTTCTCTTTCGCAGGGACCAAAAAGGGCCATATCTTATCATCCCCATACCACTCCATTATCTACTTGATGTATCTACCAAAACATTCTTTTTTTTTAAAATTTTTTTTAATGTTTATTTATTTTTGAGACAGAGAGAGACAGAGTGCGAGTGGGGGAGGGGCAGAGAGAGAGGCAGACACAGAATCCGAAACAGGCTCCAGGCTCTGAGCTGTCAGCACAGAGCCTGATGCGGGGCTCGAACCCACGAACCGTGAGATCATGACCTGAGCCGAAGTCGGACGCTCAACTGACTGAACCACCCAGGCGCCCCCAAAACATTCTTTAACCAGAAAAACATAATGCACTCCTGGATTTTCTCACATGTAGCAACTTTAGGGCTACTCTGAACAGGTTGATTAGTCTCATATGTAACAAAAAATAATACTGAATTCAATTGCACTAACTTTTCTTGCTAAGGAATATTTACTGAAAAGCTAAAATTTACTATTTGCCAATAAATTTTAGTATAACCTCAATTTTTGGATAATATGTTCAATACATCTTTTTAAATCTCTGCTCAAGAAATAATAATACTTTTAAGTAGCTGTTAACAAATTAGAAATATAAATCTTCAAAATACAGTTGAAAAGTACAAATTATGTGACATTATCACTATATTATTCTAATTAAAATCATTTCATCAAAGAATACATAAAATTGTGAACAGGGAAATGGTAGATGTAGATATAGAGATATCTCCATTTGAAGAGATGATCCAAATTTACTTAGGTAAAAATGTGTCATCGTTGATAACATTAATTTTTATGCAACATAGAAATAGCAATTTTTCTATTCATCAAAAGTGATTCATCAAATATACTAAAATGTTTCTTTTAACTTAATTCATTAAAATTATTTTGCCCTAAATTAAGTTCATGGATCTTAAACTTTTTCCTCTCCTTTTTCCACTGTATTCATGGTTTTTAACCATAAGTTTAGACTGATAACTGAAAATTCAAATTTCCATGTTTTGGTTGATTCTCAAGGATAAAGACTGAAAACGTATTAGATAGATCAATGGGTAAAGCTTATAAAAAGTAAGACCACAAAAAATAAAACACAGTCAATATGCAATTATCTAATCAAGCCATTTGTGTGTGTGTGTGCGTGTGTGTGTGCAAGACCTTTTTTCCTGTTCTTCTTCTATTCTTCAAGCAATTCTTCATTCTCTCAGGATTTTCCATAAAACACCCTGCTTTCTACTTTACTTTGCTGAACCTATGTCATGAATGCAGATCTTTAATACCTTTATTTAATTCAAGTTTATGGTCTGTTTCAGTTAGGTAGTTTTTTGTTGCAAGAAACTAAAAACCCAACATAGATTGACTGGAAAAAAACAACTGGGGAGGGCATGTATTGACTCATACATATGGCTAGTTCAGTAGATTTGCCTTCAGACAAAGCTTTAGGGTTCAAATTCTGTGAAAACAGTTTCCTCTCTTTCTCTCTCCCTCTTTCTCTCTCTCTCTTTGTTTCTCCCCCGTTATTCATTTGTACCTCCCTTGTGTTGTCTCCATTTTCAGGTAGGCTATCTCCCAGGGTCTCACGAAGGTTACCAACTCTGGGCTACATGCTTTTTTGTTCAGCTATGGTGTTAAAGTGAGTCACTGCTCAAATAAATTCCAGATATTAGGTTTTGGCCCTATTTGACCAAGATCATCCTTGAATCAACCATCATAGTATGGTTGATGTGATATGCCAATAGACTTGAACTAATCAGGATCTATTTTTAGAGCTTGAGATGTGGTCAAACCTACTCAAACTATATTGCTGGGAAATGCTGGAAACAGTTCAAACAGGGCGAGGGCCAAATGGATGCTAAGAAAGCAAATATGATAGGCAAATTCCACCAGATGTTGTCTGGACTGTAGAGAATTGGTATATATAAAGGATTAAATGGGTAAGATGAATAATCAGTTGATTTGTATACATATTTTCAATGTACTCTTGCCTAACTTGTTGGTGAAGATTTTCCTACAGTAAGGCTCAAGACTAAGAAAATTCAACAGTAAGATATAATTATAATATGCTTTAAGTTAATTTTTCATCTATAAACTGTAAGTTTTGTTTTTATTGCCCCAAATAGAGCACTTCCTTCTGTAACCTTTTCATGTCCCATCCTTATACATATCATAATGAGCAACTAATGTATTTATATGTTTATGAGAAAACTTATATGTTAATTATCTTGACTGTATCATAAGTATTATTATCTAAAACATTGGGGGTAAAGGGTTGTTTTCCTACATTTAGGACTAATTTAAATTTAACAACTCAGTTTCCATCAGTATTTGGGAAATCTAAATGTAATCACTTGTATATTTAAAAAGATAATGAAAGTACCCATTATAACATGAAATATCTTCTTGATTTACATACATCTCTGTCTGAATTTTTCTAAAAAAACTATAATAGCTACTAAAAACAATAATAGCTACTATATCCATGAAGAAAACATGACATGGCATAATTCCTTAGAAAGTAGGCCTATCTTGTTGCTTTTTTTTTTCTTTTGAGAGAGAGAAAGGACGTGTGAGTGGGGGAGGGGCAGAGAGAGGATCTGAAGCAGGCTCCACACTGCCAGCAGTGAGCCAGAAATGCTGGTCTCGAACTTACTAAACCCAAGATGGTGACCAGAGCCCCTGAGCCAAAGCTGGATGATCAACTGACTGATCCACCCAGGCACCCCTCTTGCTGCCTTTTTTTTTTTTTTTAACATTTTTTTTTCCACGTTTTTTTTTTATTTATTTTTTGGGGACAGAGAGAGACAGAGCATGAACGGGGGAGGGGCAGAGAGAGAGGGAGACACAGAATGGGAAACAGGCTCCAGGCTCTGAGCCATCAGCCCAGAGCCCGACGCGGGGCTCGAACTCACGGACCGCAAGATCGTGACCTGGCTGAAGTCGGACGCTTAACCGACACTGCGCCACCCAGGCGCCCCTCTTGCTGCCTTTTTAATGGGAGTTGTAAACAGGTTTCAGTGTATATGTCAGCTTTTATAGCTATGGAGTGCCATTTTGCTTAGCTATGCCACTATTACACAGGTATTTAACATATTATGGAGAAAACTGATACAATTCTTTGATAAGAAAGACACTTGCTAACATAACACTTTACACTATGCAAAAATACTGAGACATACATCATAATTTGATTCTCAGATCAACTTGAGATACTAGAAGGTTAGATATCCTTCTGTAGATGCAGGAATAGCTTCCAGCAGGGAGCTGATGGATAAGCAGTCAGTTATGGAGCCAGCATGTGGACTATCAGCTCACTCAGGGCAGGATGGTGGCAGGCATTAAGTGACTGCATTCCCACCCACCTTGCCTGATCCTTTACACACATACGCATGAAAGCATCTCCACAGTGCCCACACAGTGACCCTGTTTCCAAGGAGATTGAGGGCAGATTTGGGCTGAATAACATGCCTCCATCAATGGTTCCTAAGAGCTGCAGCAAGAATTCGAACTCCCATCATGCATTGCCAGCTTCCAAAATGCTGTATAGTCAACTGAAGCACAGTGATACTGGGATATCTTGGAGAGAAAGTGGGATTTAAGTTCGGAGGATATCTTCTCTTCTTATCACTTTCGGTGGCTATCCTTTCCAAATGAAGTGACTCGGTTTCAGAGATACTCATGCAACAATGACACCAAAAAAAGGGGGGGGGGGGCAGGAGGGTGGCTGGAACACATTAGGGGCTCTGAATCTTTATTAAATTAATCAATTGATTTATTGAATCTGGCCTTATATCTGGTCTTTTACAAGTCCAAGTGCTCCTTACAATATTATAGTGTCTTTTACATATTTTAACAAATAGAGCCCATGATAAATTTGTAGGGTTCAGAATAAAAGACAATAAGAGCAAAACAAAACAAAAAGCTCCTCTAAGGCTTCTGAATTCCTGCTTTAAGGACACAGGCTTATCATTGGTTTTCTGTTGTTCCTACTTGCTCAATCAATAATCAGTTTGGGAGGCACTCAATCGATAGGACTTTGAAAAACTATATGCATGTGTCTAACAGAGGGCAATCTTGAATGTATTCAGGTTTTTTTTTTTTTTTTTTTTTTTTTTTTAGGCATCTTCAAAAGATTTTTTTTTTTTTTAATGCTTTTGTTGTCAAGAGAAAAGCAGATGAGATAAAACACGAGTAGTTGAGCCTGCAGGTCTGGACACAAAACCAGAGTCCTCAAGTTTAATTTTCCAACAACTAGATACAAATTTGACAATATGTAAAGAGCCTCTCTTCTTTAGAACTCTAATGTGAGGCTGGAGGCAGAAATAAGATGCAGCCTGTGGCTTGCACCACCCCCCCCCTCAGGTAGCTTAAGTACTTCAGTTTTATCCCATCTGCTCCAACAAGGCCTGACAAACTGCACCACAGCAGAAGAAGCATCTCTCAGGCGATGATGCGTAAAGACACAGGGATTTTTTAGTCAATTGCAGGAATTAGGATTTAATGCTTTCTACTAAAAGACTTCAGACCTCAGATAGCTGACTGCTATCCACTGAATCTTGGCAGGCAAGGAGACTGCTGGAGCTGAAGCGAGGAAGCCATGTTAAGCAGATTTTCATGAACGTAAGAAATACTTTATTTGTAAAGCTGCTTTTCTTTGTTGCAGTTTAAAATGCTTTTTTCTTCTTCTCCTTTTTTTTTTTTTAAATCTCTCAGTTTGATCAACTCTCCATCTTTATCAAAATTACTTTCCCCAAATGTCCCTTAAAGAGCCACAGAAGAGAAATAAATGCTCAGGTCATCAAAATAATTTTTTAAAAGAATAATCCTAAACATTATGTCAATTTAAAAGATTAAAAATGATCACAGTCCTTAAAAAGACTACAAAACACACAGAAATACATTAAATACCTTACCATTGTTTGGCAGTTCTAGAGGGCTACAGACACTGTTTTTGGTTCTGCTGTTTGGTGAAGAGATCAGTTTTGCAACGAGAGATGCTGAAATGGGCTGCACCAGCAGGGATGTGAGGTTTGATCGGTTTTGCCTAAAGCTTCCATCTAGATTCAGAAGAGAAGGGAACAGAATCCTTAGCAAACAGAAATTAAAAACACGCAAAGAGAAGTTTTTTGTAATAATTATTCAAAATATGAACCATATATTTATTTTAGTTCATTTGTTTATTCCTTAGTTTTACTCTACTTATTAAAAATGATTTGAGGCACATCAGTCCAAATACTATTATGTATCCAAGTTAATGCTGGCAGATTATGCACATGCATTTACCTCCATTCTCCCATATGACCAGGTCACTGGAGACTATATGAAAATACTGAAAATCTGCCAGTCCACCAATAAAACAACTCACCAAAGACAGCTTATGTTAAAACCCATCAGTCAATAAGCCCATCCATATACAGAACTTCAAATCAACTCAACTTTGCCATCATTAAGTAGGCGTGGTCATCCAAGGACAATCTTAGAATGGTACATGTGCTGGTGAGCTCATGAGGACAAGAGTGAGGAGGTCAGGAGGCTCAAGAACAGAGGTCTCCAGGAAGACAAAAATAATGGAAAAACCACATGTGTGCCACTGTACTGAGAGAATATTTACAATAGAGACCAGAGAGCATCTGAGGATGGTCTAAGTACACAGAAAGATAAGAAATGTAAAAATTAGACAATCTTTAGCTTCAAAGGGAACAAAAGTTGTTCAGGAAGGAAATGTAATCATAGTACAATGAGAATCATATTTATATAGTCAAAATGATATAAATAATGGCTATTTAACACGCAAAAAATTGGACATTTCTTGGGAAAAAAAATAAAAGGGCAACAGTCATGGGTGAGGACTCATGGAAACTTGTGAAAGCAAACTAAATCTTTATCTTCCATAGTGGCAATAGATAAAACTGAAAAATTAATTCAGCTCTTAAACATGCTTTTGAGACACAGAGAGGTAAATATAAAATGCAGAGAACAACTAAAAATACTGAAAGCAATTAAGTATTTGCCTTTGGGAGAGAGGTGGGGCAGAAAACATAGGGAAGGAGAGGAGAAGATGATATTTTTGTAAACTAACTTTGGTAGAATTATTTGAATGCAGTCATCTATAACTTTGAGAAAAAACGAAAATTAAATAAAAAATAAGGAGAGAAAATTATGGTAACACAAGTAGAAGCAAAATACACAAGTACTCAGAGTAAAAAGAATGAAGTGAATAAATTAAACCATGCTTAAGAACTAAAAGATATGTCTTCAGTTTATATATTTATACTGACTCAGGGTCGAAATACACAATGGAATGACTCTATCAGGTCGCCAGAATGTCTCTGAACACAGAGCTTTATTTTTCAGAACTTTTATTAGGGAAAGTGATTGCCAAAGGTTTTCTCAGAATTTAATTTGATAGGACTGCAGGGGGTGCAGAGCTCAACCACACAGGTATCCAGGCTGCAGGAGGCAGATTATAAATGAGAAAATATGTTACAGAAGTGCTCCCTTAATTTATCATCTGGAAAACCACAAGGCTAAAAAAAATGATATTTAGCTTAGGCCTATGGCAGCCATAGCAGACATGGCTTTGAAGAGAAAAACTAAATAAATAAAGATTTAAGCTTCGGATCAGTTTTGTTATGTAAGCACAGTGCTGGTTGCATAATTCAGTAACCCCTTTTATATGGATATATGACAGTGCATTTTGACCATAGTGTATCATTGCTTCCTAGCCATTTTCATGTCTTAGTACTAAGACTGGCTGTATAATTTGCAGGGCCCACAGTAAAATGACAATGTGGGACTTCTTGATCAAAAACCATGAAGAATGTCAAGATGGCAACAGCAGAGCATTAAATCAAGCGTGGGTCTTTCTGAGTGGGGGCCTATGCAACGTTGCAGGTTGCATGCCCATGATCCAGGCCCCGCGGATGCTAGCAGTCATTTAACCCACTGACAAAAACCGAAGGGGATTTTCATACTCCAAGGAAGCTGCTCTCAGCTTCAGGTGACCAGTTCTAGTCTCTGTTGTTCCAGGCTGCACCTGAGGCCACAGTGCTTAATATCTCAAGGCATAGATGGTGTCCCTCAGCACACCAGCTGGGAAGCCCTGATATAGCCATTTGACTCTGTTTCTTCAGCATGTATTTTCTCCCTCAGTCGTTACCTTCTGGATTTCTAGTGTACACAGGACAATAAAATGATATTTCTGAGAAACGTGCAATCTGTTATTTTGATGTTTTCATGGATATTAGGTGCTGACATATCACCACTACAAAATGAAACTCCCTAAAATGCTACATGATCTCACCACTCCCCAGATCAAATATTGAACTCTTTAGTTTGACATTCAAGGCTCTTCACAATCTCAGACTTTATACTTTGAACATTATTTCCTATCATTCCTCTCGATACATCTTATGCTAACACTTAAGCTGTTCTGACATGTTCTGTGATGTATGACCTGAAGCCGTTCCTTCCACATCGCTTACCCTTCTAATGCATCACACAGGTCTGAAGTATACACTTCCTTTAAAACCCAACTCAAAAGTTACTTTTTTACAAGAAGCTTTCTCTGTCTCCCTGGACCATATGTGACACTTTCTGCACCTTTTTTCTTTCTTTCTTCTTTTTTTTTTTTTTGGTAGTGCTTGTCATTTCTAATTAACATTATCATTACATTTTCATACTTATCACTTTTTCACTTTGTTTCTCCTCTTTAAACTCTAAAATCCTTAAAGACAAAAGCAAGTATTCCACATCATTGCACGACATGCAATGCCTAGCACAATGCCAGGAACGCAACACAATCAACAGTTGTTTAAAAAATAGTTTCAACATCACTATCACTGATTTTCTGAGTGCCCAGAAAATGGTACAAGGGTACGACCAAAGAATAAATTACATTATATTCTATTAATACTATGTTTGCTATACATTTGTTCTTTTTCTCCAGCTAACTAATCTCCCACAGCAGACATCACAAAGACTTTCAAAACCCATCTATCCCCATCAATTTGCTGGTTAACCTTGTTTTAAAATTACCTTTTGAGTGTAAAAAAAAAAAAAAGACTACCATTATAAATAAAACAATCTGAGATGTATTTATCTGTTAATGAAAAATCAGTAACTGCATTCCTTTTTTTCTTTATAATGCTCTATCAGGCATATGAAACAATATATGAGTGCACCTTAAACCCTAACTGAACGTACTCAAATCTTTGATTTGTTTCCTGCATGACTAATAGACTTGCATTAGTTTTGAAATATATGAAGTGGCTCATTAATTTTTTACCTTCATCTTAATGGAAGTTTGACAAACAGTTCACTTCTGAGAGGAGACAGTAAAACAGGACTTTACAGTATACTAAGATTAAATTATAGACCAATGTTATTTTTTAACTCATTTATTGAAGAGCTGAGAAAAGACTTTTATTGTCTTATATTATTAAGAGGCTTTGAATAAAACCAAATATATGTACCATTTTTATTCATTTACATTTTAAAACACATTTGTGAACTATAAGAATCCACTAGATATGTGTTGAAAATCAGGCAGAATGTGCGCCTTGGTGCGAAGGGCACCATACGGAAAAGATGTTTACATTACCTCTTAGCATTCCAACTTTTAGATTAAAGCGTGGATATTGTGCCCTGTTCATTGTTTATGCTCTATAAAGACTGACACTAACTTACATTTTAGTGTATAGCGAGTTCTGTCTTCACTTTATGTAGTCTTTGTGGTCTATGTAATGATCCAAATCAATCCATGCCATTAATAGCCCAATCTCTAACACAGTGGCACCTGCATATAGTAGAAAGAGGAAACTGGATATACTGAGCCCCCAGTTGACTTCATTACTGACTCTGTCTGTGAAATGTAACATATAAACAATGCTCATATTGTCATCCCCTCTACTACACCTGAACAACCAAGATGACGCCAAAGGGCATTCATTATGCTGACTTACTGAAACAGAAAGAGTGTATTAGCTCAGAAGCCAAGAGACTGAACCACAGTAGGTGAAACTTACAAGAAATGAGGTTAGAAATAAGTGAAAAGGTTTTCTAATTGAACATATTTAAGGTTTTGCATTATGCTTTTTCAAATTATTGATGCCCACTTCAATCATATCTGGTTGTGTATATAAAGAAAATGTGAACACTGTTATCTGCCCGCACTTTTTTTGTGTGGCAAGATGGAATTCTTTTAAACTCAATTGAAAAAGTGAAAAGAGCAAGTACCAATTACTCAAAGAGTATTAAAACAACTAAACCTTCAGAAACTAGAAATCTTAGACACTGGGATCCTCAGATTAATGCACCAAGAAGTGAAACAAGGTAAAAACAAATGCTGGTAGATAAAGCAAGAAGTGGTTTGTGTGGATCAGTGAAGATAATGTACTGCCATTGGAGGGGACAGTACAGTTTCCAAGTTGAGGAATATAACTCAACTCTCAGCACCTGTGTGTGTAAACATAAGATCCAAGCTACATGATGACATATGTGTGTGTGTGTCTGTATGTATGTGTGTGTGTGTGTGTGTGTGTGTGTGTATGTATAGCAGAGATCCTATAGACTCTTTTTATCCAATGTGTGTAGTCCTTGGACAAGCAGCATGGGCATGATCTAGGAACCCATAGAAATGCAGAGTCTTGGGGACCTGGGCGGCTCAGTCAGTTGAGCATCCAACTTTGGCTCAATTTGTGGGTTTGTGCCCAGCATTGGCTCTGTGCTGACAGCCTGAAGCCTGGATCCTGCTTTGGATCCTGTGTCTCCCTCTCCCTCTGCCCCTTCTCTGCTTGCTTTCTCTCTCTCTCTCAAAAATAAATAAACATTAAAAATTTAAAAAAATGCAGACTCTTAAACTCCACCCCAGACCTTCGAATCTGAATGTGCAGTCTAAGAAGATACCCAGGTGATTCATATGCACATTAGATAACCACTAGTCTAAATCATTTCATATTGTTCCACGGCACAATTTACATAATTTTCACAGCAAAGAAGACATAAAAAGCAGGATAAAGAAGATAAAAAAATAATGGAGTGGGTTTGCTCACCTTTC